TTCATTTCAGTGGAGGAACCCTGAAAGCTAATTATCTCCCGAGAACTTGCTAGAATCTTAAGGGTTATGCGCAAGATGTTAACTAATCACACAGCTCCTAGATATTTGTAACATGCAGTGTGAGGTTGCATTTAAATGAGAGCTAGGCATGATTACTGATGTGTTGTTTGTTAGTGCTGCACAGCAAGCAAAATGCTACATTACACAGTGCCAAATTCACAATACTTGCTAGTTTATGCTTCAGAGAGAAAAGAAAGCATGCAACGATTAATCAGGGTGCAGTGTTCCACAGGCGGTATTCAATAATAAGAATAATAAACTAAGAAGTACTTGGGGGAGAAAATAGACTACAAAATTAATTACAAATTGAAAATATCATGCAAATGAATGCAAGGCAAAGAGGTGAGATATGAATATTTTTGTACAAAATATGATTCCAATTATTATGTTATTCTTTTGACTCATAAAAGCATCAAGAATAGTAGGGAAAGGACCTACAAGCTGCATATTACATTAGTTTAATACTAACAGGTAAAAATCATGTTGTGAGTGGGTGGCCAAACAAGTGCATTTTATGATCACGTTAGCCATAGACCATTGCCTTCATTGTATATTAAAAGTAACGTGAAAACTTTATTTGTGTTACATGAAAACAGGATTGATCGCATAGTAAAATAAATAATAAGCATAAGTAAAACCTTAAGAGGTCATTGTGGCAAGCTGAAGCTTTTTATCAAAGTCCTTTCAGTTTCAGTAGAGAAGTTACACATGACCATTATTCAGTTCCTTGTATTTTGTTTACTGAAAGCTAGTGAGCATTAACTGTTTGCAGAAGTATTGAGTGTGCATGCTCTGCACATGAAAAAGCTGCATGTACAACACCAGGGCTTTCCTTCAGCCAGAATTCGCAGGAACTCAGTTCCGGCACCTCTCAGGAGGGCGCCATTGCCACTGTAAGAGAACAAGGGAGGCATTCTTGGTGAGTTCCAGCACCTCTTTTTCTGAATTTTTAACACTGTGCAACACCTTTTGTGGACCCATACCTTTGTGTGTAAGTCATGGCTGCCCCCAAATAATAGTTTTAAGAGTTCAGGGAGTTGTTAGGAGACCGTATTTATCTTGAAGAGCTACAGTACTCAGAGTGGTTAAAAAATCCTTCCCTAGCTGTGAGGGGAATATGGGTCTCTCCTAACAACTTTCAACACCCTTAGCAAATAAAAAATAAAAAAATAAAAAATTGCTGTTATTTTTTACCTATGCAATTTTGAACTGTGATAAAAAAGTTAAAGGTAAAGGAACCCCTGAACATTAGGTCCAGTCGTGGCTGACTCTGGGGTTGTGGTGCTCATCTCACTTTATTGGCCAAGGGAGCTGGCGTACAGCTTCCGGGTCATGTGACCAGCATAACTAAGCCGCTTCTGGCGAACTAGAGCAGCGCACGGAAACGCCGTTTACCTTGCCGCTGGAGTGTACCTATTTATCTACTTGCACTTTGACGTGCTTTCGAACTGCTAGGTTAGCAGGAGCTGGGACCGAGCAACAGGAGCTCACCTCGTTGTGGGGATTCAAACCGCCAACCTTCTGATATTAATGCTGTATTCTTAGTTTTAGATTTTGATTTATGTGGAAATTGTTTTCCATTTGGTTTTGTATTTTTTGATGTGGTTTTTTATTGTTTATTACTTTTGTAATTATGTAAATCTTGTCATATTGTAAGCCGCCTTGAGCATTGTTTTTAACTGTGGAAAGGTGGCATGCAAATAAAATGATGATGATGAAAATACTGCTTTAAATATATAGTGCAGATGGGCCTTAGTGAAGTTGCTGGGTTCAACCCTAATTTTAACTTTGAGAGTCCTAGGTGGCTTGGAACCACCTGCCTGCCTATAAAAGTCACTTTCAGAGGCCCTGCTTAGAGTACCCCTCCTTCTGAAGCAATGCCCCCCTTTGTTCACTAGACTCCATCCCCAGTGACTTTCACAAAGAGATGAACTTTACCTCAGCTTTTTACACAAGTTGATTCTGTTTCCCTCAGTTTTTGAACCACTTATGGTGGTTTTTACTTTGCCATATTTTGTTGCCTATAGTTGCTCACTTTTATTATGGCGTCTTTATATTGTTAGCCCCCTCGTGAACCAGCTTTGACTGAGAGGTGGAATTTAAATATTTTCAATAAACGCATAAACAAATAAGGATTTTTGAAAGGGAGGAAATCATATGAAAACCTGCCAAATATATGACGAACTATTATCTGGCCAGCATTTCTGAGTAGATATTTGGTCAACACTTGCATGTTCCAAATTATTTTGTCCTTCTGAAACGTGATTTGAATAATCATGCCCTTTCAGAGAGCTAGTTTAGACTTTTGCAAGTTGGAAACTTAGAGAGCGGTAGGATTTGTTTTGGGGGAGGGGGAGCTAATATTTAAGTGAGCCAAAAAGTCAACAATACCTGATCTGAATAGCCAGGGAACATGGTTATATCAGTAAATAAAGACTGTAGTTACATTAAAACTTGGTAAATGCTTCCAGAGAAGATGAAGTATGGAATACTAGTCCATTGATCAACAAAGCAGCATCTCTTCTGAATGGAGAGCTAAGGCTGTGTCACTGTGACTCAACCCATCGCTATAAAAATCAAATAAAAATCAAATCAATCAATAAGCACACTACTTAGTGGCAGAGCACACAGCAGAAGAAGAGAAATCCAACAGACTGATTTACCTTTACCCCTGTGTCAACTTGTCAACCTTTTAATCCCAGAAGGGTAAATCAGACGATGTATAAATTATCCTCAGCCGTGCTGACAGCTGCTGCCCCTTGTCTCCCGATCTAGGCAAAATTCACAGATTCAGTTTCATTATTATTTAAACAACAAACAAAACACACACTGTTCTTTGCAGTAAAGATGCAGGGGGCTGACACTTTATGTGAATATATGCTATATATTGGGAAGAGCCAGTTCATCTGCCTCTGGTTCTCTCCATCCCCTCTCCTGCTTTAGGACTGCAGTCTTAAACTGAGGGTGCTCATACCCTCAAACAGAGTGCTAAGGCTCAGGAAGGTCTCCTGCCCCAGGAAAATGTTGGCAGCTGTATTACCTAACAGAGTTATGTTTCAGCTCTGGGCTTTTAGCACTGTCTGAACCAACAAGAATACTGACCCAGGGTTTTGGAGGTCCGGTCCCTGACACTGAGTATGAGGTTCATAATTGTGACATGGTGCTAATCTGATGGACGTAGAGTGCTGCTGGATAGCAGTGGGAAAGCAACATTAATGAAAGTAATTCAAAGGCAGCCTGCAAACATAGATGAAAGGTGCATCAATAGTGAGATGCTGCAGCAAAACTTTACAAAGTGTGAACAATTTGTAGAAAAAGATAGCTGCTTGGATTCAACTAACACGTTCCTTCAGTCAAAGCCATATGCAAGGACTTCTGCCTGAGGAGTGGGGTTTCCACTACTCTACTCTCCCTGGGTACCCCCCCCCCCCAACATTGGCTTGATGGACTTGAAGGTAGTGTGGGCCTAGGCAAAACATCACACATATATAGATATATTTGCTGCTGCAGATCAGTGTGCATTTTTCAATATAGGAATGTTTCAACTGCATCTGCCCATGGGACATATTTGAAACATTAGAAGCGTACAATTATCTGTAGCTGGAAAAAGAAAGTGTGGGTGCGGTCTCTACCCAGGTTTACCTGGATAACAGAAAATCTCATCAGCCAAGATTTGAGTAGTGGAGACTTTATTGTTTCATGACCAGACCTATATTACAGTGGTACCTCGCAAGACGAATGCCTTGCAAGACGAAAAACTCGCAAAACGAAAGGGTTTTTCGTTTTTTGAGTTGCTTTGCAAGACGATTTTCCCTATGGGCTTGCTTCGCAAGACGGAAACGTCTTGCAAGTTTGTTTCCTTTTTCTTAAAACCATTAATACAGTTGCGACTTGACTTCGAGGAGCAACTCATAGCACGCGGTGCGGTAGCCTTTTTTGAGGTTTTTGAAGACTTTGGTGATTTTTGAAGCTTTTCCAAAACTTTTCCGACACCGTGCTTCGCAAGACGAAAAAACCGCAAGACGAAAAAACTCGCGGAACGAACTAATTTCGTCTTGCGAGGCACCACTGTACTGGCAAATACGGTTCTGGAAAACCCTTAGCTGGTATAACAGGAACACAAAGCTCCTTGCAGTACTTTGCGCCTTTTTGAATAACCTAAACCATTTCAGTATGGACAGTCTTATGTAGATACAACTCAGTATTCTCCTTGCCACCACTATCACTTTGTACATTCCCCGCTTTCCACAACTGCTGAAGTCTTCATTTACACCGCACAAATTATCCTTAGCAGCAGGTAGGAAGCAATCAGCAAGGTGCAGCTGGCAATAGGTCTATTTTCATTAGTGGATGAATGGAGCCAGGGGACATGACATTTGTCCAGTATAGTATGGGAGGACTCTATTAGGAAAATCGACCCCGGAGAATGGTTAGGCTTGCTGAGGTAAATGAAAAACAGGAATGCATATAATAGATTGTAAAAGTTGGTTTTGTGCATGTTTATGATGATAGTGTGTGGGGGGGGGGATAGGAACTGTGAGGTATTGTAAAATGCTCTGTAAGAAGTTGCACACTTTCAAGCTGTTTTGTATTTAGTTTTACACCTTGAAGAAACACGGGGCTCAGTCCAATCCCATCATGCATGCAGCCCTCATGGGGAGGGAACAAACCCCTCTGTTTTCTATTTCAGCTGTCTGCTGAACTTCTTGTGCTTTCTATTGGACATTTTCTAACTGCTGTAGAAACTGATGGAGCACACATAGGGCTGCTTCTCAAGCAAGCAGATCATCAGCTGGTGACTGGCTCCTGAGCAACCTTAACTCACATGTCACATAGCAACACAGGAAGATGCATTACCATTGGTCCATCTAGTATAGCATTGTCTACACTGACTAACTGTGGCTGTCCAGGGTTTCAGACAGAGCACATTCCAAGCCCTTTGTGGAGGTGCCAAGGAGTGAACTTGGGACTTTTTGCATGCAATGCAGATGCTCTACCACCGAGCTACGGTACTTCACTGGGTTGTCTTGTATGTAGCTGCTGAGTCTGTTTTCTGTCCATCAGTTTGTGATGCAGCAAGCTGGCACTGAAGGGCATCGAGACAAGCCACTATTGGTTTTGAGATGGATGAAATGCCCCCTTCTCACAGTTCCCCTCACAAGAGTTGCTCATGGCATGAGGATGAGGAAGAGTGTCTTGTGAAAAGCTGTGAAACTCCTTGCGTGCGTGGCTACAACTTTGATGACCTTCCTGTTTGGATGCTGCCGGGAGACGGGGGCAACTGGCAGGCCCCCAGCTGGCTCCAGCCTCCAGCCAGCAGCCGGGTGAAACTCCGGTTCTCAGAACAGCATCAAAACTGTGACTCAAGCCTCAGAAGCCTTCAGAAGCTTAAGCACGCAAGCCAGCAGAGATAAGAACTCTTTGCAATGGAAGAGGTGGACAGAGACATGTGTAAGCATATTTACAGCATTTATTCAGCAGCAGGACAAAGGAAAAACATGTCTGCTTCCCTTCGTGTCCAAGCAAAACAGCAGTATAGCAAAAGCAACATACAACGAAAGTTCCCAGCAGACTGTGCTGGAAGTAAACAGGCATCTGACACACAACAGTCATGCCTGTTCCTTTTAAGGTGGAATGGAACTATATCCTAACACTTCCATCACCAGCTTAAAACATTTTTGTTTATCCAGGCTTACAGCTGATTCAGTTAAGCCTCCTCTGGGTCACAGGAGTGTGTTGTCACCATTTTATATTTCTTCTACTGTTTTAAATACTATGTTGTTGTTTTTTGCAATGTTTTATTGATTCAGTTGGAAACAACTTTGTGACCAGCCAGTGGTGAAAAGAGACCTTGTCCTTCAGCGTAACTGAAATATAGTATTTTTTTGGTACAGACATTTTATATAAGCAGAGAGACATTGACACAAGTAAAATAAATGCTACCCGTGTATAAAGAAGAGCGGGGCAGGTAAAGTGCCATAAATCTTTATACGTGCTAAGAAACTGCTTTTTAAAAGTTTCTTTTCACTGATGAAATGAGCTCTTTACATATAAATTATATTGTAATAACAGAGCTCCCTGGTGGAAAAGAGTTCCTTCTCCTGCTGGCAAAAATTAAAATAATCACAGATGGCTAATGATCAAAAATACTGACTGACAGCTCTGAAGTGCAAGGGGTGCAAAATATTCTCAAAGCTGCCGTTTGCTTATGGTCTGGGCTGGCTTTAGGCACTCACAAAATCTGGGGTTGTGTGTGATGCTGGTCCAAAACTTTTATTCATCACAGTAATAGGTTATTATGATAGCATGTTCTCATGAATGCACAGCATCATGCATACATGTTCAATTGCACTGGTGGTTTTTGTGTTTGTAATATCAGAGCAAAAAGGTTGATTTCTCTGCGTGTAATGTATTGCCTTATGCATAAATGTAATCTGGAATCCAACAATGCAAATGGCAAACAATCTATGCTTTGGTTGGTCTGAGATTCAGAACCAAGCCAGAGTCCCAACAACTGTGTCTAGGATCTCATGATTTGTACAATGAATGAGATGCTTGGGGAATGAAACTGTGGTATTTGAATGCATTCCAGTTAATGTATGGAGATGGATAACAGTTGAGTGAATGGGGTGCTTGAAATGTTTACTGCACTCTTAAATCTAGGACCTGGCATTGCTTCTAGGGCAGCGAGTGGCGAGTTTAAACCCTACTCAGGTGTTAAATCTCCATATGCTTAGAAATGCATGAGGGGAGAGCAAGGAAGTCTTCTTCATCGCTTCCCCATTGCCCTGCAATGTGAAGGTGGTGGTCTATAGCCAGGAACCTCATGGAATGATAGAGTAGTCATCCTGCATGCTGTAGAATCCAACATGATCAGGTTTCTAAATAGTGTGGGGAGACTTCGTGTATGAAGCAAGCTCCCCAAGGCAGACCTTCACCCTTGCAATGCCTGGGGGGCAGCAGGATGATGTGAAGGAGGCAGTGGTGTAGCTAGCCGCTCGGGTGCCTGGTGCAGGGGGCGTGTCCTGCAGCTGGGGGTGGGGCGAGCTGCCCATGGGGGTGGGGTGAGCCTCTCCGCTGCTTGGAGCCTCTCTGCTGCCTCCCCGTCAGCTGTAGGGCAGTTGAGGGAGAGGCGGAGGGCAGATGCAAGTCCCATGCTGTCATTTTAGGCAGTGCAGAACCTGCAAGAACCTAAGCCACCAAGTCACTCCTAAAAAGTTCCGTGAGCCGATTTTTAATATTTTTTAAAACTCATTTTGTCACACACACACCCTAGTGATGACACCCGGGGTGGGCCACACACCCCCTTCCTCCACTACTGGAAGAAGGACACAATGGTGGGGTGGGACCAGGGCATCCCCACTCTTTCCTCATTGCATGAGCTCTTTAACACCTTTAGGTTTTGAAGTAAAGGACATGAGACAGGAGTTGGTAATGCAGGTGAGCTGTGCTGCCAGCTAGCTCTGCGGAGGCTCTTTTTATTAGCACAACATGCAAAACCAGTCAGATACATTTTGGACTGTGACTTTTACACATCTTCCAATCCCGAGATCGTGGGGTGGTACAAAGTTATTTTGGCACCTGTTTCCACCACGTCACTTTCCCCTTGCACAATGTAAGACGAAGGAGACAAAGGTCACAGACAGGGCACAGCAGACCACTAAGAAAGCAAAGGTTAGATAGAGGGCATGATGCTCAGACAGCTGTGGCTTGTCTGAGGGTGGAAGTGTGCTCCACACCCGGTGGTCATTCCTTCAGGTTTTTAAAAAATGAATGAACCCACTTTTTCCCTATTAGGAACCTGTTTTATGCTGAGTTGAACTAATTGTCCATCTGCTTCAGGGCTGTCCACACTGGCTAGTAACAGCTCTCAAGGGTTTCAGTCTGTGGCCTCTCTAAGCCCTGTTTGCAGATGTCAGGGATTGAATCTGAGGCCTTCTGCATGCAAAGCAGATGCTCTATCATTGAGCTACAGCTCTTCCCCAATTATACTTCTTTTCACCGAGATGTATTGAAATAATTTCAAAACCTGTATTTCATGTGTATTAGTATTACCGTATTTGCTCAAATCTAAAGCTCACCTTTTTCAGTCAACTTACGTTGCGAAAATTAAGGTGCGTATTAGATTCGATGGCACATTTACATTCACCAGCAAATGCTTTTTTTGTTTAAGGTTCTTAAAATTGAGATGCGTATTAGATTTGATGGCACATTAGACTCGAGTAAATACGGTAGTAATATTAGCATTCCACTTTCTCTGTGGCGTTACAACACATTTTAGGTTGCAAATATACTCTAGCTTTGAATTTGGGAGTGAAATAAGTTTCTGTCGTGCTTGGGAAATTGTTCTGTGTAACTCAAAAGACTGCATAGCTTTTGAGGAAAGATGACTCGTCATGCTCATTTGGTTGTTTTTATCATAGAGAGAGGATTCTTGTTTAAAAGCATTAAAAAACCACTTAATGGTTTTAAAAATCTGTAAGTGGTATACAACATTAAAAACAAACAATATAATTCGAATGAAAATACAGCCTGGAACCAATAAAACAGTAGTATATAAAACAAAACAAAAATTCCACACAGAAAACAGGGTCCAATCTTATGGGTCCAGGAAAATCTGGGCAAAAAAAGTATTTAGAAAATATCTGAAGCAACTGATGGTTGCTGCATCATGTATGGCAGAGGAAAAGGCATTTCATAGCATAGGGGCAACAGCAGAAAATGGTCATTTTGAGGTTGCCGAAATTCCTTCCCCCCCCCCCCACCTCAAGGCATAGAAAATCTGTACTCCTTCTTTTCTAATGTAAAAGTAAGAGAGCGAAAAGGCACAGACCAACTTCTATAATTCATTGTTTAAAAAGATCTGCACAGTACAGATTTCCAAATTTGCAAGGAAACCCACAAGAATAAATGTTACTTGTTTACAGGGATGCTGAAAGGTGCCAGTTAGCAACCTGAGCAAAACAACACTTCTAAAGAGTTTGTGCTGTGTGTGTTCATTTTATAAATAAATAAATAAATAAATAAATAAATAAATAAATAAAAAGCTAAATGAATCCTCACAAGCAAAACCATTTCACGGAACCAAACAACAATAAATAAGTATTTAAAAAGCATGCCAGAGGCAACAGAAAACTTTGGTGTTCATTTCCATTTCTTTCAAGTGCTTTTGATGAATGGTGTGACAATAGAATCCTAATTAAAGTCAAAATCCTGAATACTAAATAAATTAGAAGTGCCACTACATTCATCTTTCCTCAATGATAATGCCGCCACTTCTGATTCCTTGTGATGCTCCCTCACCGTAATCGCCCTTAGCGAAAGGCTTCACCACCTCCAGGCAAGGAGCCGAGATAATTTGCCCTAACAAACAGAAAATGAGAGACAAAACATCCTAGCGGCACCCGTGTCCTGCTCTCAGTTCATTTCTTAGAAAGCTGCAAATCTGGAGCACTTGACATTTTTCTCTCTTTCTGGAAAGCAATGAATAAATGCATGCCTGTTCACAAAGGGCTGACGACCGAGGTCAGAAATGATCAAATCTGCGTTCCTATAATTGGGTACTAACATCCATAAGACTCGCATAAGTGAAACTGGCCAGGTTTTCTGAGGTGCTGATCGCTCACACCTTCCGTTGATTTTGTGAGAAGCATGCATGGATTGAACAGCTGGTCACGTTATGTTTTGGTGTATAACATCAGGCAAGCAACCAGCTTTTAAATGTTTTCCCTCCCCTAAGTGATGCAACACTCTGGAGTCCAACTTTGACCTTCCACCCTCTTCAGAGAGAGTCTCGCTTGCCTGCATCAATTAGCAAAGGGGGTGGGACACAGATTATGAGAACATCTGCAACCTTGCACGGGGAGAGAAGTGGTTTAGGTTTATTCTCAGCATATTATACAATTGGCAGGTGGAGCTGTGTTTCAAGATATTATTAAAGATTTTCTCGCTTCTTAGAAGCTACAGACTTCTCTCTCTCTCTCCCCTCCCATTTTCAGGGCAAGTGCAAACCACAGCTAAAGAACATCCAAATCCTTTGGTTCCCTGGGAAGCCTAATAATAATAATAATAATAATAATAATAATAATAATACTGTATCTATACCCTGCCCATCTGGCTGGGTTTCCCCAGCCACTCTGGGTGGCTTCCAACCGAATATTAAAAACACAATACAGCATCAAACATTAAAAACTTTCCTAAACAGGGCCGCCTTCAGATGTCTTTTAAAAGTAAGATAGTTGCTTATTGCCTTGACATCTGATGGGAGGGCGTTCCACAGGATGGACACCAATACCAAGAAGGCCCTCTGCCTAGTTCCCTGTAACCTCACTTCTCGCAGTGAGGGAACCGCCAGAAGGCCCTTGGCACTGGTCCTCAGTGAATGATGGGGGTGGAGACGCTCCTTCAGGTATACTGGACCGAGGCCATTTACGGCTTTAAAGGTCAGCACCAACACTTTGAATTGTGCTTGGAAATGTACTGGGAGCCAATGCAGGTCTCTCAGGACTGGTGTTATATGGTTTCGGCGGCCGCTCCCAGTCACCAGTCTAGCTGCTGCATTCTGGATTAATTGCAGTTTCTTAGTCACCTTCAAAGGTAGCCCCACGTAGAGTGCATTGCAGTAGTCCAAGTGGGAGATAACTAGAACATGCACCACTCTGGCAAGACAGTCTGCGGGCAGGAAGGGTGATGAATTCAAACTGCTCTAGCAGCACTTAAGTGACCTCCCCAGAGCACAAGCCTGGGCAGTGTGTATGGAGGTCCTGGGCTGCCAAGATGACAAAACCCGTCCTCTTAGCTGATGTGGTCCAAAGGAAAGCAAAGCAAAATGTTTGGCACCAGCTTGGCTGCAGAAGTTACTGGAAGAAGGCATACAGGACACCATCCAACCGTCTTAGGGACTCCACTCTGGATTTGTGTAGAGTTTACTCCTTAGCCTTTTCTTTTCCCATAGATGTCCCGCAAGGCAGTGGAGGTTTAAGATCAGAGTTTTCCTTCTCCTAACCCTAACCCCTAATGTACACCTATAATTTTAGAAACTGTAAAATTTGAGAAGAAACACAGTCTGTGCCACTGGTAAGGAAGACTGTAACTTGTATGCCTTCTCAGTTAGCTATCCAGCTGCTAACTGCTGATGGGCAACTGTTGAAGGCCCTTGCTGTCCTATCTTATGGTTCTTTCTTTTTAAACTAGATTTGGACTGGACAGCAATTTAACTTGAGGACTCCTGTGGCCCTCAAGATGCTGTTGGGCATCTTCACTGGCCAGTGGTCAAAGAAGCTCAGAGTTGGAGTTCAGAAAAATCTAGAGGGCCACAAGTTCCCAACACCAAAATAAAGGGTTGACTTCTGACATAGATAAATGTCATTTTTAATGTAGGACACAGGGCCACCTTATGACTAAGAGCAATCAGCTAGATGGTATAGTTTGAGCATGGCTCTATCCTTAGAGAACCTTTTGAGCAAAGCTTACTTCTTGCAGCAAGCTGATCCCATGGCACTATCCTAATAATGAAGCCTGAGGTTGGTGGGTAGAGCCAGGGGGTCTGTAAGGGATCCCTGAGGTTGTCATCAAACGCTTCACTCTCTGGCAGGAAAGCGACACCCTCTATGTATTTTTGTGGTGTTTAATATTTATGCGACACATTGCATGCTATTTATCAACACAGATAAGTCAGCTTTCTTTATCATTTAGCTTAACAGAGCAAAAAAGCATTTAAATAATGTGTCTGCAATTGTATTCTATGGAGATAATCAGTAGCTTATTAACCTTAATCATAACAACACATTATCGCTATTTGGTTTCATGTCACCTAATTTGCAGAACAATGGTGAAGAGCATACTCAACACATATGAATATATTCTCAAGATACTGGCACTGCATAAATTCAGTGACCCTCACTTGAAATGTCAGGGACTTAAGAATAAGCTATATCACACAATAAATGGAGAGACAAGGAAACAGAGGAGGGGGAGAGGAAGAAATCAAGTAATCAGAGAGTTCGCAAAGAGCAAACACTTGATAAGAGTCAGAACAAAGTGGGATCGTAATCAGAAAGTCAACCGGAATGCAGAGCAAAGGTCAGCAACTCTTAAACATGTTTGTGTAGCTTCAATTAAACTAACAAGCAATGGCATCTGCTTAGGTCAGGTTTAAACACTGGAGGTTTGGTAAATGAACTGCATACTCACTCCTGGCTTTAGGGTAGGATTTTGAACATTTATTTGTGAAATGACAGAAAAGAAAAGCTGGAGCGCATTGAAGACAAATACCATCTTCAACTCTTTGCAAAAGAGGGCCATGGTAGCACACCAGTTGGGGCCACATTCAAGGCCAGACACTTGAAGCACTGCGATTCCACAAAAGAATTCTGGGAGCTGCAGATTGCTAAGGATGCTGAGAGTTGTTAGGAGACTCCACTGCCCTCCCAGAGCTACAGTTTCCGGAGTGGTTTGACAAACAATCCCACTTCAGAAGGAACTTTGGGAATCACAGCTCTGGGACAGCAGTAGGGGTAACCTAACCACTTTAGCACCCTTAGCAAACTGCTGTTCTCCATATTCTTTGGCAGAAGCCAGGTCTGTTCAAAGTGGCCTCACAATGTTTTAAATGGATGGTGTGAATATGGCCTCAGCATTCTTTTGGCGACGAAATTCCATCATGGAGTTTCATCCATGAAACTCTGCAGTCCACACACTGCAGTCCAATAGGAAACAGAGTCCAAAGTGGTGGTGATATGTATGTGAGGAAGGAAGAACCACAATGAAATCAGAATGTAATAGGAGCCCTTGTAGGAAGAGGGCAGGTGTAGTGAAAGGGTCTGAAGTATTGTGTGTTTAGCCCAGGGGTGAGGAACCTCAGGCTCTGGGGTCAAAGCTGCCCCCCCCCGGACCTCTCTATCTGGTCCTTGGAACTCTGCATAGGCTAGACTACCTATCCAAAACCACACACCTCAATAATAATAATATTACAATAATAATTTATTATTTGTACCTTGCCCATCTGACTGGGTTGCCCCAGCAACTCTGGGAGGCTTATAGCACATATAAAAACATAGTAAAACCTTCAACTTTAAAAAGTTTCCCAATACAGGGATGCCTTCAGATGTTTCCTAAATGTTATATAATTACTCATCTCCTTAACATCTGATGGAAGGGCATTCCACAGGGTGGGCACCATTACTGAGAAGGCCCTCTGTCTGGTTCCCTGTAGCTTCACTTCTCGCAGTGCGAGAACTGCCAGAATTGAATTGTACAGTTCAAGCAACCTGTTTATTCAGCACTCACCCCAATAATAATGATAATTTTATTATTTATACCCTGGCCATCTGGCTGGGTTGCCCCAGACACACTTCCAACACATATAAAAACATAATAAAACATCAAACATTAAAAACTTCCCAATACATGGCTGCCTTCAGATGTCTTCTAAAGTTGAGTAGTTCTTCATCTCCTTGACATTTGATGGGAGGGTGTTCCACAAGGAGAGTGCCACTGCCAAAATGGCTGAAAGCCTGGTTCCCTGTAGCTTCACTTCTTGCAGTGAGGGAACTGCCTAGGAGCTGGACCTCAGTGTCCAGGCTGAATAATGCGAGTGGAGATGCTCTTTCAGGTATACTGGGCCTAGTCCATTTAGTGCTTTAAAGGTCAGCACAAACGCTTTGACTTGTGCTCAGAAAAGTACTGGGAGCCAGCACAGATCCTTTAGGATCGGTGTTACATGGTCCCAGCAGCCACTCCCAGTCACCAGTCTAGCTGCCACATTCTGTATTAGTTGTAGCTTCTGAGTCACCTTCAAAGGTAGCCCCACATAGAGCACATTGCAGTAGTCTAAGTGGGAGATAACCAGAGCATTTGCCACTCTGGCGAGACAGAGCACAGGCAGGTAGGGTCTCAGCTGGCATACCAGATGGAGCCTGTTTCATATGCCTCATGGTTTTGCCTGGCTGCAATGCCTCCTTGAATTCTGATATCTTGCTACACTAAAGGCTTGTTTCCTGGTAAAGTCTGACTGAATCTCAGCAGTGTGAGGGATCACCAAAAGCACACCATGAGATTACAAGGCACACACAACCAATGCACTGTCCTGCCCATCTGCTGGCTACAGGTGGGTGTGGTTTTGGTAAGATGGCCTCCTGAGCCAAAGTGGACTAAGTTTGGTCCACAGGACAGAGGTACCCCATCCCTGACATAGAAAGTTTCCACTGATGGAGACGGTGGTTTGTACAGCAAAATACATTCACTTTAGGATTTATGATTCCCTTTAGAAACCGAGCATAAAATTCAAGACTGTATATCAAGTTGAATTTTCTCTTCGAAACGCTGACATCTGTCTCTCATTACGAATTATGTTATGTTGCTCACTCATTTGAATAATAAAGTTGGTTTCTTATCAAATTTCAACATGTCTCAGCTTAATAAAGAAATTATGTTTTTATTCAGTGTTTCTGTTGATATCTTAAGTATCACATGCACTGCTATGTAGTGACAAAACCAAATGCACTTTGGCGGCGATTCAATATAAAAAATGCGGAGGTGTTGATTTTATTACCGCTCTGGCAATACATTTGAAAGTGTGCTAATGACTATTAATGGCCTCGTGCACAGCCAAAAGAATCCTTGAAGTCAGTTTTCTCTCTCTGATCTTCTACATTAGAAACAGATTCTGATATATTTCTAATAAGTATCAAGGGGGCTTTTTTTTTTGCTTCATAAACAAACACAAGTCCTAATTAATTAAGCTTTCATTTAACGTGTAATTAAAAACAGAAGAAAACTGCACTCAGCGGATGAACAAAGCTTAGTATTTGTTTCACAAAGTGTCACTCTGAGGTCAAACCACAGCCATTGCTGAATTAAAAATAGAGCCATTCCAACTCATTCATTTGGGTAGCTTTTCATTGTAACACAGGAACACAGAAAGCTGCCAAGTTAGGCCACTGGGCAATCTAGTTCAGTATTGTCTACACGGACAGTGGCTTTCCAGGACTTTGGACTGGGGCCTCTCCAAGCCCCACCAGGAGATGAACCTGGGACCATTTATGTACAAAAGAGATGCTTTACCCCTGAACCACAACCCTTCTCCAAAATGCAATATTAATACTTAGAAGCCACAGAAATGACTTCTTAAGACGTTCCAGAGAGTGAAATTCAAAGACTTGCAAGAGCTGTATGTCCACTGCCAGTGTTGTTTCTGGGCTCAATTTAGAGCGTTGGTGTTGGCTTCTAAAACCCCTAAAACCAGGCGAAATCCATCTTCAAATATCTAAAAGGCTGCCGCATGAAAGATGGAGCAAGCTTGTTTTCTCCTACTCTGGAGGGCAGGACCCAAACCAATGGATTCAAGTTACAAGAAAAGACTAAACATCAGGAGGAACTTTCTGGTGGTAACAGCTGTTTGACAGTGGAACAGACTCCATCGAGAGGTTGTGGGCTCTCCTTGGAGGTTTTGAAGCAGAGGAACTGGCTGGACATTGAGGAGTGGTGGCTGGCTTCTGATGAGTGGGCACCAGTAAAAGGAGGGATGGAGACTGACTCAGAAGAAGGGATCAGTGAACTGGAGAAACCAGTTGGGAGATGAGAGTCAGAGGCAGGAGAAGCTGCAGGATTGGAGGGTGAAGAGATAGGTCAGGGTGGTGTGGAGTCAAGGGCTTCCACACCTCCTCCTCTTGCTCTGACCTCTCCTGCTCCACTGTCCCCCAGGACCAGGGGACGATTGAAGAGGGAGGAGCAGAAGGTTACACACAGGCAGAGTCTTCACCTACTTGCACACAGCTCAGGTGGGAGAGACACATAAGCTGAGGTTGGGGGTGGGGCCTATCTGTTGCGGTCATTGACTCATTGGGTGCACACCTAGAAGTAGCTGAGAGACGTAGGGTTGATGGACTTGGCTTTTTCTAAATAATACTTTTGACAATAAAGAGTTAATTCCTCCCTTTGGAGATTCTTGCCTGACAGGTTGGGTGGCCATCTGTCACTGGCGTCCAGTGAAATGTGGGCATGGTTAAGTATGTATCAATGCAGATGAGGCCAAGATTGTCCAAGCAGAACCTAAGCAGGAAGAGCAAATAGTCTCTCATGAATTTTCGAGGGGCGTTTACGGAGAACTTTTACAGGAGCCATAAGCAATAGCGGCGGGCACATTGGCACCTGCACGGTGACCTCCGTTTTCATTAGCAACCTCCTGATTTATAATGGATTCATTAAGTTTTAGTAATGCTACCTCTTAATCTTTTGTTGTTTTCATTATTGTTGTGCATTGCTCCTAATGAATGCATATTTTATTGTCTTGTTCAATATTGCATTCTCTCTTATGAGCCTTTTGGTAGCTATTTTGATAGAAAAGCAGGATACAAAAATTATATAATTATAAACAGACAAATACTAAACTAATGTTAGGATCTCTCCACCCCCCACCCACCCCCACACCATATTCTGAACAGCAACATGTTTCTGATATTTTTCCTCCCTTGAAGAAGTTTTTCTGATTCCCCACGGGACCTAGATCAACAAGGAAATAATTGAGAAAATGGAAGCTTCTGTTTTGAAAAAGCGCAACTGCAGCAAGACAACAGAAAACAGATGCCAGTTATTTGCCAATGGCTGCTGAAGAACAGAGTAGTTTATGACATTTACTTTGCCTTAGCAGAGCTGAAGTTCATGTCAGAGAAACACAGTCCATTATAAATGAGCCACCAGCAGCTTCTGAAATGGACAAATCCAGAAAAGTTGTGACATACACGACGGGCTTCTTTTACATGGTCAGGGCACTATCTGAGTAAGTAGCCAGTTCAAAGTATGGATGTCAACTCAGAAAGAATTGGGCAGTAATTAGCAAAGATGGTGTTGAAGTTTGCAAGAACCTGTTTCAGTTTAAAAACTTCTCCAGCTCGTAATGCTCAGATGTATTTTCAGGCACGCAACATTTCCTCCCAGAAATTCTTCTCTGGCACAGGGCATAAAGCAAGAGACTGCATCTGTGCAGCCTGCATTAATTAGACTGTATTATTTAAAAGGAAGTGCATGTTCAGACATTGTTTAGTGCTAATGCTTTACTTTCCATTAAACTTATTATTATTGCATTTACATTTGCTTTATACAAAAGAAAAAGTCTCAGAGTGACTTGATAGATTAAAATACAACGAATGAAGAGTATTTGAAAACCAGAAAACTTTAAAACAATGAACAAAACAAATGTGTAAAATGCTCATCTAGTGAAATATTAATAAGGGCAAGTCTTAGCCCCTCACAAAAAGATAAACACCACTGTAAAAACTTAGAATTGTAGAGCTGGAAGGGACCACGAGGGTCATCTAGTCCAACTCCCTGCAATGCAGGAATCTTTTGCCCAACCTGGGGCTCGAACCCATGGCCCTGAGGTTAAGAGGCTCATGCTCAACTGATTGAGCTATCCCAGGGAGACACTCAGAAGGCATCTTACTTATCAAATACCTGGGTAAGCAAAGAAATCTTAGACTTGTGCCTAAAGACTGACAAAAATAGTTCCAGGTGCAACTCCCTGGGGAGAATATTCCATAAATGGGGGCCACTGCTGAAAATGTACACAGGTTATACATTGACAATAAAGGTATTATTATTATTATTATTATTATTATTATTATGCTCATCTGGCTGTCTTTTGTATCTCCCTCAGGTAGAGCACATGCAGGAGTCTACAAAGAAGACCATAGTGATTAATATATAATTGGCATGGCTGAAGATCTCCCTGTCACATGACCATTTATTTCCGATTCCCACAAATTCGGCACCTGTCAGAGACTGGGCAGAGGAGGAATGGTGAAGACCGCCTCCCCAGCCTGACCCTTCCAGGGAGGGGAAGTGGAAGACAGTTCAGATTTACAACAGGGGTTTGAGGGAGGTCACAGCTCAGAGGCAGATGAGGGGGGAAGTTGGGAAATAAAGGGAGAGGAGGAGGAGGAGGAAGCAGCACGGGGGAGAGACAACTGATGGACACAGTGTCTTTAGAAAGCATTCCAGACCACCCCTCTCTCCCAGAACCCGGCAAGCCTTGAAAGTAGGAGAGCAAAGAGCTCAAAGACAGAGGGCACGTAGAAGTGACGAATGAGGAAGTGGGAGAGACGTGTGTGTGTGTGTGTGTGTGTGTGTGTGTGTGTGTGTGGAGATTCACTTGGGACAACGCCATTATCCAAGGGGCTGGGTTCTATAGCCTCTCTCTGTAAATACTAAATAAAAAGAAGACGGTAAGAAACATTCCCTTGTCTTTGTATGTTCCTGGCAACCAGCCGGGAGTTGCTGACAGCAGCCTGACAGTACAAATGCAAGCTCCTGACTGGAGCTCCCGAATGCAGACTCCCACCCCCACCCCGCCTTGAAAATGGGACATGCAGTCAGCACTGAGCAGCTGATCGGTGCTGATTTCAAGCGTCACTGGGTTCAGCTGCATGGGAGCTCCCTACTGCAGCCTATTCCTACCAAAATCAAGGACTGAGATCTGTGCTGAATTTAAATTCAGCACTAATGGTAAGACCAGCTATCAGCAGGTCTTTGCAGCCTGGCTTGAAGTTAATTCATTTCCATAAGACAGGTCCTTATAAAAAAATATATCAACATGGCTTAAAGAATCCCAGCTAAAATAATATAACAAAGAGAAGCAAACCCATGAAGTCTAAATTATAACTTTTTCTTTCAGAAATGTCCCAGATGTTTACATAATTCTTGACATTGCAGGTGAGAAGCCTGTATGGAAGGGTAATAAACTGGTGCTAATTTTGCACTCAGTAAAAACTGGAAAGCCTATTTCAGCCTCAAGATACCTAAACTTCCACTACGATATAAGATGATATAAGCCCCCCCCCCCCATGCAGCTTGGGGTTTTTTCCCCCTTCTCTTCTTTTCAGGAAAAATAACACAGCTTATCAAATTACATCACCATGTCCTCCAAGGGACGCAAAAGGACATGTTAACTCCAAAAGGCAGGTAGGATCGTGGGATGCCCATATACTAAATTATGGTGAAGGCTGACCATTGTTTTGAATCATTATGGCTCTAAAGTACACTATTTTGTGATTCAATTGACTTGTAAGTGGATACCTGTCATCTCTTGTCAGCTCAAGAGTAATGTTCAACTTGGGAACAGAGCAGAGTGAAGCTGAGAGAGAGAGAGGGAGAGAGGGGAATGCTTATAAAGCTTTAATAGAAGGTTTTTCTCTTTATAGCAATGAAGAACTAGCAGACTGGAAAGCTCAGAGGATTGATTGTTGGCTATAGGAATGTTCACTTCTAGATAAACATTCTGAATATGCCCCATATCTACACTAACATGACAGTTCTTTTTCTTAGCCTAGGGGAAAAATATGATAGTAATCTTTTTTCTACATGAATGATTGCAAAAAACCCCACAATACCTATTACAATTGCCATTCATGTTAACAGGCTACCATGGAGAATTAGGACAAAACTCACAAACCACAGCTGGAAATGAGAGTGAGGAATATGTGGTCCTCCAGATGTTGAAGAACCACACTTCCCTTCACCCTTGATCATTGGCCATGCCGACTGGGACTGAAAGGAGTCCAACAACATCTAGGAACATTTGAAGAGTCCTGCTGCATCTGGCCAAAGGCTCATCTAATCCATCGCTCTCTTCTTATAGCAGCCATCCCGGTGCCCATGGGGAGCCTGCAGGCTTGATCTGAGCACAACAGCACTTTCTCTACTTGTAATTCCAAGTAACCAGCATTCAAAAGCTTAGAGACAGTGGAGGTGGGACATAGAATTTGGGAATTCCCCAAGTTTCATTATGAGCTGTATCTGTCCTGATAAGATCTGGAAGGCTGCGGGTTCACCATTCCTGCTCTATAGTGATTGTCATAAAATTCTACTCAGTATTGATCCAGAGTAGAACCTCAGCAAATAGTTAGCAGAGTAACAACTTAAACACGGTGCAGGATTCCCCCAAAATAGACCAGAGGCAATTATATTTCACCCAGCAGAGCTTTACTGCTACTGAAGGCAAATGAGCATAATGGTCACAAATCCAATACATTCAGGATTGGCACTGTCCATAAGAAATCCAGTTGCAGCAGACTTAACTTAAACTTACAATAACGTATAATAAGTCTAAACCTTAACACTAAGCATACTATGTGCAGAACACCACACCAGAAGGAAAAGAGATAGAAAAAGAATGTGTTAACCCAGGCTCCTTCTGGCCTTACTTTTATAGTCAGCATGACCTTGACAGAAAGAGATAAGAGACCCAGTTTAAACCAGCTGTACTCAGCTTCTCTGAATGAATAACCCGAACATCATGAACCTTCTGTTTGTTTCTTTGACACAGAGAAGATTCCAGAACCCTCTTGAATTAATTAGAATAGGAAAGATCTCTGCACATCAGATCAATACTTTCTGTACTAAGAAATGGATATCATGCATTTCTTAAATGATATTACCAGTTTGGAAAACATACAAATCATCAAGGATCCTGGTGGAATCCTGAATGCATTCCCACCAGATTTCCTTCTCTTCACCTTTATTTTTGTTTTACCGTTTTCCAGGTGCATATGTCGGTTATGACATTTGTAAGGAAAGATGGTATAGAGTGTGGTGGCCATGTCCCTGCTCTCTCACATAAAGTGTGGAAAGCCATAGTTGAAAGTTGACCCTCTACCTATTCCTTACTGCAATCCAAATCTTATCTGTTTGCACAGGGTGTAGTGACGGGGTGGGGTGGAGATTTGCTTCAGTTCCCATTTAAAGGCAAACCTAGCTAATTTGCACTTTCCAAAATAATACAGAAACAGAAATGCCGCCATCCTTTGACAGTCACACTTTTCTGAATTATGCAATGCAGTTCTTTAGCGAAGTAATGTGTTTGAAAATGCAAATACTGGGCTAAAGAATACAGAAAAATGTGTATATTAGTGAAAATAATATCCAAGGTGCATTTATTTTAGGGGAATTTGCTCTGCAAAAAAATTGTGTATTGGGCAAAACTGCATGAAAATATGTGCATATTAAGAAAAATTCACAACCAAATGCTGATGAATTTTCAGGAGGACTTTAAAGGAAAAACACACAAACAGATTTGGAAATATGAAGAATTTAAGACCTGAAAAATGAGAAACTGGGAAAACTGAAATTATCAGTTTCACCCATCAGTCCGGCTGCATGATAGCATGGTAAAAGGAGGCAGGACCGCACCACACACCAATCAACCATAGAAGGCAGAGGCCAACAAGTGCAGAGAATAGTTAAGTTGTCTAGCAGAACATCCCTGGGGGAAGAGGTGCCATAAAAGGAACATGCAGTAGAACAGCATTCTCCTCTGGTTTTCCTTTTCACAGGGAAGGTAATTCCTCCAAACATGGCTAGCATATAGTGGGGGGGCAAACAGGCTTACTGGCTGCTCTTAATGTCATTTGAACTTGCACCCATGACGAATGAAATGCAGTTGTGGTCTTCATATAGAATGAATTACCTATGTTTCTCTCTTTAGTTTTCTTGCAAAAGGATGTTCTTGCACTTCTCTTTCCTCCTTTCCCTGGAATTAAATTACGATAGTAAATGGTAAAATCATTGATTGGAAGTGCCAGATCCCAAACGTTGTCTCCCACTTCTTTAATTTACACCCCCTCCCTGAACCCCTCTTAGTGGAATCGATCTAGCATTTTTTGCTTGCTCAGAACGGAGAAATTAACACAGGCAGCTACTTTATGGCACGTGAGATGATTGGCTGGTTATCTCTTGATTGGCAGTGGTGCTCTAGGCTCTGAGGGCAGAACCATGCCATACATCTTAAGCATATCCAACACACATTTAAAGCACATGACTTCCTCCAAGTCATCCTGGCAACTGTTGTTTCGCCTTCACAAAGCTACAGTCCTCATTTCCCTTAAACTACAGTTATCGTTATTTGTTTGGGCAGTGCTATTTTTCTAGAAAAAGAGGTGCCAGAACTCATCATGAACTCACCTTGTTCTCTTATAATGGCAATGGTGCCCACTTGAGAGGTGCCGGAACTGAGTTCCGGAGAGTTCCGGCTGAAAAAAGCCCTGCTTTTGGGCAAGGGCCCAATGTGTGTCGGATGTGCTTTAAATGTGTGTCGGATGTGCTTTAAATGTGAGGTGTGCATCTGTCCTTAAGAATGAGGTCTTTCCCAACCATATTACCTCACATTATTTTAAATGGAGATGTGAGGGATTCAAATTGAGGTAGGGAGAGCAAATGCTCAGCCACTGAGCTGAGCCTTCTGGTTACCTTTGGAGGCAAGAGAAGGCTTCTGTTTATGAAAGAAATCCGTATCACACAATGGAGTGATAGCCAGCAACCTGGATGGCTTGAAAAGAGGATTCATGGAGAATTACCCTGTCAGTGGCTAACAGCCACAATGACTACATTTTGTCTCCACTATGTTTCTGATTCCAGAAAAACATCTACTTCTGCTTCTGTTCCAGAAAAACATCTACTTCTGCTTCATTGACTTCATGCAAAAGCCTTTGACTGTGTCAACCACAGCAAACTATGGCAAGTTCTTTAAAAAATGGGAGTGCCTGATCACCTCATCTGTCTCCTGAGAAATCTCTATGTGGGACAAGAAGCTACAATTAGACCTGGATATGGACTGCAAGAAGATCAAACTTATCCATTCTGAAGGAAATCAGCCTTGAGTGCTCACTGGAAGGACAGATCCTGAAGCTGAGGCTCCAAAAAGACCCTGATGTTGGGAAAGATTGAGGGCACAAGGAGAAGGGGACGACAGAGGATGAGATGGTTGGACAGTGTTCTCGAAGCTACTAACATGAATTTGACCAAATTGCAGGAGGCAGTGGAAGACAGGAGTGACTGGAGTGCTCTGGTCCATGGGGTCACGAAGAGTCGGACACGACTAAACAACAACAATGTTTCTGATTACCAGTTGTTGGGAATCGCAAACTGGGGGAAGCACTAGTTCCCTCAAGTCTTGGCTTGTGGGATCCCCATAAATGGTGGCCATTGTGAGAACAGGATGCAAGGCAAAATGGGCCGCTGGCCTGATCCTGCAGGGCCCTTTGTAACGTTCTCCTTCTGATGCAACTGTCAAATCCATTCACTGGATCCAATGGAGCCTTGTTTGCAGGGATGTCACAAATTTGCTCCTCTTAAATTCACAGCTCTGTTGGCACCACACAGGTTTTTGTGTTAATTAAAGAAATGGTATTAAGAGCTATCGCTTTTGGCACTTTCCTTCTGTGCCACTGTTTTATTTATAGCTCTCTTCCTAGACCATGCCACTATTTTATTTATGCTATAAATATATAAATATTAATGCAAGGAAAAAGTTTCCATTGTGCTATTTAAAAAAGGAGGGAAAACGAAATAAAAGGACGCTCTGTGTGATCCATGCTTATGAATGCCAAAAGTCATATTTAGCAGCAGTTGAAACCCAGGATAGCTGAATGCATTCGCTCTTTGCCATCTCCATCATAACTATGTTACAAACTGGGTAAAAAGTATGGGGGGAGGGACACTTCATTTTCACCATTTTCCTGGCATTCATTCTTCCTTGGTTGCCTCCAGAGTATCAATATTTTGTGGGAAGGATTCAACTGTCTCCCAGAAATTAAATTAAAGCGAGGGCTGTGCACAGCCCCTTGATCCGATTTTAGGGTCCA